AGAAGGGCATAACCTTACGAAAAAAGAAAACACGCAAAAATTGCGGTTGCTGCGGTTCTTGCATTCCCCTGCGGTTTGCTCTTCAATAGCGCGGTATTGCGGTTATCGCGACAGCCCTACTTCATAGATATCCTTAATCTCTAATAACTCCATTCTGCTCTCTGTTGTTGTTGTTGTCAGTGTTTCTTTCTCTGGACACAGCATTGTTCACATGCTGTGTAACTTGGTACTGAAATACCAGTACTTTTAACTTCCTTAGTGCCAGTTTGTTTTTACATCTCGGCCTGTATGTTAAAACTGTGACTTTGCTTTTTTTTGTTAAGTTCTCATGGGTGCCTTTAATGCACAGATGGTTTTAATAAACATACAATGTGACTTTGTGCTTTTGCTGCCAACTAGATGGTTAAATTGCTGCTGAACAAGGGAGCCAATCTGAGTGCCAGTGACAAGAAGGACAGGCAACCCATTCATTGGGCAGCTTACCTTGGTAAGTATATACTTGTATTTTTTGGAAGTGTTGTTGGTGTTTTCTATAGCTAAATAGTAATTTTCCTTGTATTAGATTGGTTTCACCATCTTTAGCTACTTAGTGGTGATTCCTGGAAGTTGTAGTAATACCAAAGACTTTTGAATGGGGGAAAAATGCAACGCTCAATATGGCCGCTCTATTGAACGAAGCCCCGCCTTCTGAGTAAAAGAGCCAATCACTAATCGGTAAAGTCCACACGTCACTGCAGCTGCCGTTAGAAATCCCGGTTGCTATAGAAACAGTCAGCATTCAGAGACGTGCGCTTAGGACTGCGCACTGCCTGGTCTAGCCTGAAAAATAGTCTTTTTTTAAACACTATTTGAGCAAAAGAAACAACATTTATGAGACAGTTGTTGTCAGATTTCATTGGTGATTTCAATTATAAAATTTAATCATAAGTTTGGCGAACAGTTCTGGATAATTTGATGTTTCCCCATTCAAAGAGATAGGAGCTGCACTTGCATGCCCGAGAGGCATTTCAAAGATGGCCGCCGAGTGAAATGACTTGCCTTAAAGGAACTTTGGTAATACTAACCTGTTTGTTTTTCTCAGGACATCTGGAGGTGGTTAAGCTGCTGGTGTCTCAGGGCTCTGATAAGAGCTGTAAGGATAAGCGGGGATACACCCCTCTCCACGCTGCTGCTGCCAGTGGCCACGTCGATGTGGTCAAGTACCTGTTACGCAATGGAGCCGAGGTCAGTGCCAGGCCTCAACATTAAGCTTTTCCACTTGTCTTTTGGACAAGTAAAAGTAATTTGTTTTTTGTCCAAATATAAAGTGTCTGGATCCCAGATCACTTTAACAATACGTCTTTGACAGATTAAAAATACTAGCAATATGGGATAAGGCATCAGAAATATGAAGTCAACCGTATTCAAACATTATGTGTTTGGACAGCATGACCTTTTTTAATCCAGATAAATTTCCCTAGTGGCTATTCGTCCCTAGGACATGGGTCAGAAATGATTGTAATGTAGTGTTTTTACACAAGAATAATTTTTAAAAGAACAAATCTTTGGCCAAAAAGTGAATCGGATGTCCCTGGATTTGGTGTACTTTAGTCATGATAGTTCATTCACACTGTTGGTTTCTGGAACCCACCTCATATATATATATACAGTGGGTACGGAAAGTATTCAGACCCCCTTAAATTTTTCACTCTTTGTTATATTGCAGCCATTTGCTAAAATCATTTAAGTTAATTTTTTTTCATATATTACTATTGTCATAATATAATTTTAATATAAAATTTTTTGGCAGGTTTTTGAACGAGTAAAAAAAATAGGATCAGTATTAGATATGTCATAGCCATGACCCATCATTTTGTACTTGCAAGATGGTGGCAAAAATCTGTAGTGCAGAATGAGTCCTCAATATTTTTGGTCTGTTTTCCTGGAAAAGAAAGGAGGTTGATCCTTGGTTTACAGGATATTTTATTTCATGCTGTCTGTTTCTTAGATTGATGAGCCTAATGCCTTTGGAAACACTGCTCTGCATGTGGCCTGCTACACGGGACAGGAGGCCGTAGCCAACGAGCTGGTCAACCGTGGGGCCAACGTCAACCAACCCAACCACCGCGGCTACACGCCCCTGCACCTGGCTGCCGTGTCCACTAACGGGGCTCTCTGCCTGGAGCTGCTGGTCAACAACGGTGCTGATGTCAACATGCAGGTCTGGACAGGGAAACGGGAGTGGTTTATTAAGACATTGCTCTGATTGAATGATCTAAATGTATTTGACTTGAATTTTTGTATACTTTCTCAATGTTTTTATGCTTTAGGAAAGACTTTTCTTAGATAATTTTTTTCTTCTTCTCCACAGAGTAAAGAAGGGAAAAGCCCTTTGCACATGGCAGCCATTCATGGACGTTTCACTCGCTCTCAGATCCTCATTCAAAACGGTTGGTTACTTTCCTTTTTCACTCTATTTCCAATTCCTTTTGTAATATTTAAAACCCTCTTGTTGTCTCCTCAGGTGGGGAGATAGATTGTGTGGACAGATATGGCAATACTCCTCTTCATGTTGCTGCCAAGTACGGCCACGAGCTGCTTATCAGCACCTTAATGACAAATGGTGCTGACACAGCCAGGTAATGTACCATGTGTTTGTTGAGTAAGACTTAGTTTGTTTTTTTTGCTCTGTAGTGAGTGGAGTAAGGTCATCTCTTACAATATAGCAATTGCATAATGTCTCTATCATACAATCTTAAAGCAAATTTTGTGGCAGTGAAGCGGTGTTATTTTAGTATTAATTATATACAATTATCATATATTCTGTTAATGTTTTCAAATTATCCTTTATATTTTCATTTTTCATTTAAATTTTGGTAAAAGGTTATGTATTTCTCTTTTTTCTTTTTTTTTCTATATAGATTTTTTATTTTATTTTTTTGTAATATTAGTATTGCTACTTGTTCAGTTAGTTCACAAGACAACGCCTAATTTAACATTTATATTTTATTTTAGCTTTATTTCAATTATCGAAAATGTTTTTTTTCATAAGTTTTAGTTAACATCAACAGTGGGATAAAGTGTGTAACTGGCTCAGTAAATAGTGATGGCAATAATTACTTTTACAAATAAACTTGTTACAAATCAAAATATTGAATATTTTGTAATGAATCTGAATTACATACAATTACATATTTTTTTTTCCTTGCTTGTTTATAAGATTGTGAATAATATGCAGCAAATTAAGACATGGCAATGTAATTGTGCATTAATGAATACTTTCTTTGGAGTTATGTTACAGACATAACATTGTTATGTTACAGAAATTGGAATTTCCTTCCAATTTCAGTTAATAGCAAACACCCTGACATAGAATTAGGTGTATTTGTTTTATGTGCTTCTAATTTTTCCTTGTATTGCTGACAGTTTAGTTTAAAATGGCACAGTTTACCTATGTACACGAGACAAGGAATTTGCATTTACAAGGAAACTGATTCTAATCTCCTGTCAGTTTGCATGTTATCTGCTTGTGGCATGTGTAATCAAATAATTTGCTTATTTGTCCTCTTTGTACAGACAAGGGATTCATGGGATGTTTCCTCTACACTTAGCTGTGCTCTACGGGTCCTCTGACTGTTGTCGTAAACTACTTTCCTCAGGTACACACCCTTTCTCCCTGTAAAGTGACCAATTACAGCAAGGGCCAAAGGAAAATGGTTTTGTCCCTAGACTATATTCTATATGTCCTTGTCCCTTAGGGAAGTGCTGTGATTGTAGTATATGTTACTAAATAGTTGTCATATTTATGTACATGTTACTTCAAAAAATGTCATGATAATCCCATGGTACTTTATTAGTGATAGATTGAAGTCTTAAAGCAGTCCATTAACTGCTTTTCAAATGACCGATTTGCTGCCAGCCAAAGTGACAGTGTATTCCTCTAACTAACTTTGCATTGACTTTTGCAGGTCAGCTCTACAGCATTGTGTTGTCAATGAGTAAAGAACACGTGCTCTCAGCCGGATTTGACATCAACACCCCAGACAACTTTGGGAGGACCTGTCTACACGCTGCTGCCTCTGGAGGGTGAGACTGCAGCTCTACTTAGAATGGGCTATTTAAAAAGCCACTGGCCCACTTTATATCAAGTGTCCCCAAAAACAGTGTTTTATGCGCACAAATGCCAAGAAGGTCGTTTTGCTGATCTGACTCAATAGCCAGCATCTAAATGAAATTGAAGAAGATGTTTAAAATATTTATTAATGGATATACTTTATTCTCTTCATTCAGAAATGTTGAATGTCTTAACCTGCTCTTAAGCAGTGGAGCTGACATGAATAAGAAGGACAAGTTTGGAAGGTACAAATGTTCGTTCTTTGATAAAATGGGATGCCCTCAGTTTCTGACATGATCATATTTGAAGTGTGCATGATGTAAATATTCCTTATGCCAAGTAGTGATGCTCCGCAATCATTTTTTTTTATCACATTTATTTAAAGGGGATATATGATGCCCAGAAAGGCGGGGCATAGAGGAGAAACCATAATGTACAGTGTGTGGAAAATAATGTGTTTTTTGAACCTTAAACCGCATAAACACATTTCATTACACCAAATACACAAAATAATGTTCTTTTTAGCAACATCATATGACCCCTTTAATAATCAACACTCAAATATAATTTTTTTTTTTTTTGAGTTTCATATATAAACATTTACACTGTACATAAGGCAGTTTTTATATCAACTTTTTAATTATATAATTGTTTTTCAGAATTTCTTTTGGCTGAATGTTTTCGGTTGCTGAAATTTTAGTGCATTCGGTGCAACTACTTCTTTTTAATATTGGATTTTGGCATGAAATATGATGGACATTTTTTAATGAGATTTACCAGTATGTTGAGTGTTTAAATTTCTGTGTCTCTCCACCAGGACTCCGTTGCACTATGCGGCTGCTAATGGTAGGTATCAGTGTGTGGTGGTTCTGGTAGGAGCGGGGGCGGAGGTCAATGAGCGTGACCGCTCTGGCTGTACACCTCTACACTACTCGGCTGCATCGACTGCGTTCTGCAGGTGAAATGCACTCACACATGCCCACACATCTTCTTGCATCTAATAAATATAATAGGGCATGGTGTACAAAGCATTACTGATGTCTGGTGTCTTTCTCAGAACGGACCGACCCCATGCCAGCACCCATCAGAACCAAGAGGATGGGGAGAAGGAATCCTTCCTGTAAGTCTACAACAAATATTTGTTTCTTAAAATAATTTGATGCCTGCTTTTTGTATAATTAAAGTTTTGTACCTCATGCTAGTAGCTTGTAATTATTTGAAATATGAAATATATATATATATATATATTTATTTATTTATTTTTTAGATTATCTATGCTTGCACTGGTATATTACATATGTGTCAAGTGACTATCTGGAGTGGAATCATAAGTACGATTCCACTCCAGACGGTAATGATGATAATGTCAGTTGTCCCAATAAAAACCTCGTTTATTGCTAGGGGTGTGTAGACCCCTAGTGGTTCATTAAGGTACTGCATGGTGTTTCAAACTAAGGTCTGGGAGAAAATATTATTACAATAGATATTTGACAATATTACAAGATATTAGTAAAAATTAAAAACTCCACAAAAATATTAAGCAGCACAACTGTTTTCAATATTGATTATAAATATAATTTTTTCTTGAGCAGCAAATAGGCATATTAGAATGATTTCTGAAGGATCATATGACACTGAAGACTGGAGTAATAATAAATTGTATATTAAAATAGAAAACCGTTATTATAAATTATATTTCACAAATTACTGTTTTGAAATGCTGACTTGGTGAGCATAAGAGTAATGTTTCTTTTAAAAACAAAAAAAAATCTTACAGACCCCAAACTTTTGAATGTTATGGAAACTAAGAAGAAAGATGTTTTGATTTATTACAGCTTATCATTTCAGTCTTTGAATCCCATGTGTTTTGATACTTTCAGGTGTGTAGAGCATTTGTTGGATAATGGTGCTGATCCATCTCTGTGCAACACTAAAGGATACAGTGCTGTGCATTATGCTGCAGCCCATGGCAACAAACAAAACCTGGAGCTGGTGAGATTGACCTTTCACTCTAACATAGTCCACTGTGATTTTTAACCTCATTTTATTAGTGTAAAACTTGATGCATGCTTCATATACATATTTTGTTCTTGATTCTGTAGCTTTTGGAGATGTGCTTCAACACACTAGGAGACAAGGAGAACAACGGGTCCGTCAGCCCACTACACTTGGCGGTATGTACAAAATGTCAAGACATAAAAATAGGGATGTTCATTTTGGTTATTTTTCCTAACCGACAACTTACTCTTGTTAACCGATTGTTAACCGACAAGATTATTTTAAATGAGAAAGAATAAGTGTCTGTGACCTGTTAAAAAATACTAACATTTGTTTCACGGGGATTAATTTTACATGTGCAAAAAGCAGCAAACAACAGAACATGAGGATTCACATGGTCATATAATATCACATCACGCACCTGCAGCGCTTCTGTGAGCGATTCCCTCAGATCGCGTCTTTGATAATTCACACTGCGTGATTGTCACTCGCGTGAACAAGCACCGATTTGCCTCCGATTTCGGGCATTTGTCGGCGATTTTGCAAAACCTGTCGGCGAGTGAAAAATCGGGCTAAAATCGTGCAGTGTGAACTCGGCATAAGTGTTATCACAGTAGGCCTACCACCGTGATGTTATGCAAAACATTTTGTTTAACATGGATATTGGAACGCAAGTGAAGTACATAATAAATAATAATTTGCCATTCAAATACATCGCGAATACGGAAACATTTGATTTTGTGTTGAATGAGAGACCCAACGTTGGTTTCAGTTTCGTTTTAGCCTAAATTAATTCGTTTTGGCTTGTCGTTTATATTGCTATAGCTTCTTATATTTGTAATTCTTGTTCTTTTCTAAATACTGTTAATTGAAAGGATTTGTTTACAGTGTTTATTATAATGTTTGTAAACATTTCGCGTTGACTTTAGGCCTATTTCTGAATGAAATAATAAAATGCGATTTATACATGACTTATGTTTTTTCCCCCCTAAAAACAAATTTTTTTTATACGCGTAGCGTATTTTAACCATGCAGCAAACCTGTTTAAATATTTTGATAAATTACTGAAAAAATTAATAATTAAATGACTTTTTAAACCGTTTAACTGATTGTATTAATCGGTCAAAATTCTTACGGTCGGTTAACCGGTTAAACGGTTAAAATGAATATCCATACATAAAAATCAGCAGCTATATACATCAGCAGATATTCTGTAATTCTGCATATATAATGATATATATGGAGCTAATATTAACGGAAATTACTTTTGCTGTCAGGTGGAGTCCGGTCACTGGGAATGTGTCACTGTGTTAATTGAGTCTGGAGGGTATGTGGATGCCTGTGACCCGGTGGGGCGCTCTGTGCTGTACGTAGCCTCTCAAAAAGGACATGCCCGCTGCGTAGAGCTGCTGCTCTGCCAATCAGCATCTTGCCTGCTCATAGAGCACCGCAGCAAATGGGGCCCTCTTCATGTTGCAGGTACATAGAGCATGTATGTGCAAATAGGCTTGTGAATCTGAGCTTTCTGTGGGAGTTTGATAAGTTGCTGTGTGTTCTTTGTTGACAGCTGCCAACGGCCACTCAGAATGTCTGCGGATGCTGCTCTGTAGCGAGGGGGGAGCCGATCTCGTTAATGTTAAAGATGCGGAGGGACAGTATGTATGAGCTGATGGCTCTTCTACTTTATCTTTATTTTCTGCTTTTTATTGTTTTGCTCATATTCACAGCATTTGTTATTAATAAATAAGGTAACACAAGACAAGTAATGCATCTTGCATAATCTGATTACAAGTCATCCAAATCACAGTTGTTGATATCATTCTCTAGTTTCACTCTCTCTCTTCATAGGACTCCACTAATGCTGGCAGTGCTGGGGGGACACACTGACTGTGTGCATCTGCTGCTGGAGAGAGGAGCTTGCCCTGATATGAGAGACAGGAGAGGAAGAACAGCCTTACACAGAGGGGTGAGATTCTGAAATCATTAGTAAAGTTTTTGCTATAAACCCCTATTAATGGAAGGTTTCTAACCAGGTCTGTCTTTGTAGGCGGTGATGGGTCGGGAGGACTGTATAACCGCCCTGCTGTCCCACAACGTCTCAGTCCTCAGCAAAGATTTTCAGGGGCGAACTGCGGTCCATCTGGCTGCCTCTTGCGGCCATGCTGACATTCTCTCCAATCTTCTTTCTGCTGCTGACCACTCCCACCCCCACGACCCAATCACAGACCGCCATGGCTACACACCCACACACTGGGCAGCCTATCACGGTAAGGGCTCAGACCTTTTGAGCCTCAATGGCTCGTTCACATTGATAAAACTGTCATAAGTTAAATAGGTGACTTGCACTATTTGTGAAACAGGTAATGAAGACTGTTTGGAAGTTTTACTTGAACTTAAACCATGTAGTATCCAGGAGGGAAACCCCTTCACCCCACTGCACTGTGCTCTGTGAGTGTTGTTGTTTTTTTCTTTTCAGATTCAAGGGTGATGTAATTATATTTAATGTTGAAATAATTCCTGAGAAAGTAGAAACTGAACTGAAAAAGTCAGACAAATTAATAAAATGTCAAAGTCATGGAAATGCCTGTTATAAATAATTCTAGTTATTATCCACTCTTATTTTTTGGTCATTATATAGTTCAGATTTAAATCAGTAATAGCAATAATGGTGTATAAAAATGCTCGCTATTTTTTAAATCAGTTCTACCCCAATGTGCACAACCATTTAAAAGTGTGGGGATGGTAAGATTCAAAACAAGCAAACAAAAAACGGGAAATGTCACACCCCTTACCATAGCCGCCTGCGAGCTTCAGTGTAAATATTGCATCAAAATCAAATAAATTTGAAATAAATTAAATAAAATATCTCCTTTTGAATTGGACTTTGAGCTTTGTAACTTAGCAGATCTTTTTTATGCTCAAACAGCAACATTACAGACTAACTAACGTTGAAAAAGTGAAAAAGCATAATAGGACCCCTTTAATACTTGTATGTGGTAAAGATGCATTAAAATTGACAACAAAGACTTTTACATTGTTCAAAAAAATATTTTTAAAAAAATGCAGTTCTTTTGAACTTCCTATTTATCAAAAGAATCTTGAAAAAAAAGTCTTACTGTTTCCACAAAAATATTACACAGCACAACTATTTTCAACATTGATAATAATAAATGTTTCTTGAGCACCAAAGCAGTATATTAGAATTAGCAGTTTAAATATATATTTGCATTTTATCATGATTTTATTAATTTTATTATATTATATTAGCATTTTTAAATATATAAAGAAAACTGTTTAATTGTAATATTTTACAATATTACTGTTTTACAAGTTTTTGTTTTTTTTTATCAAATAAATGCATCCTTGGTGACTTTTTTCAAAAAACATTTAAAAATCTTACCAACCCCATACTTTTGAACGGTAGTGTACTTGGATACTTGTTTGAATAAATGTATTTTTACAGCCACCAAAATTAGCCATTGCATCATATTGTATCTTTTCTGCATAGTAAACACATGTGAAGTTTTTGTGATGTGAAAGATATTTAAATAAAACTATAACGAATAATTTATGGCATATGTTTCCTAATTGCCATGTTGCATGTTCTCGACGTCCCATTGCAGCATTAATGGCCATAGTGGTTCTGCAGAGCTGCTGTTGGAATCCAGTGTTTGTAATTCGCTGGTAAACATCAGGGATGCCAAAGGAAGGTTGGTGCAAGTAGTTATTAAAATACAATTGTTGTATATTAGCTGTTAAATAGTTACAAATTGAAAACCAATACATAATTTTATCTGCTAGCTAAATGACTATGTTCTGACATCTTGCACTCAGGACCCCACTTCACGCGTCCGCAGTTGCCGAGGACGTGGCTGGGCTGCAGCTGGTTCTGCGGCACGGAGCTGACATCAATGCCGTGGACCACTCAGGGCGTTCTGCACTGATGGTGGCCGCCGACAATGGCCAAAGTGGTGCTGTGGGTAAGATTTGCACCATGTGTGATATGAGTAATCTGAGACCGAAACCCTCAGACATTGTAAAATGTGACTATAGAGTGTTTAATAGTAATTTTAGATTTTTTGTTATTGTTTTATGCAGCCCTGCTGCTGCACAGAGCCAAAGCCGACCTGTCCCTCCTGGATGTGAACAAGAACACTGCCCTGCACCTGGCCTGCAGCAAGGTAACAGACAGTGTTTTATTTAAACTTAATGCTGATTATCTCTTGATCAGATTTCTCAAATGTTGTGCATATTGCTAACTGTGTTTGTAGGCTCATGAAATGTGTGCCATGCTGATCTTGAAGGAGATCCACAACCCTATCCTCATAAATGCAACCAACAGTATGCTTCAGATGTGAGTCCTAGTCTTTGTCCTAGTTTGCACATGCAACTATACGTAAGCCATTATTCATGGCTCTGTAGCAATATCATAACATTGCTCTTTTTTGAGCATCCTGACTAGCTTGAAACATTTGCTTGATTTATCTTTATGGCACAGAAGCTACACACTTTACATGTAACTCAAGCAGAATAAACTGGACAAACGTTTTAAAATCATTCTCGACTTCATTTTCTTATATTTCAGGCCCCTCCACATTGCCGCCAGAAATGGTTTGGCCACCGTGGTTCAGGCCTTGCTGAACCGTGGAGCCACAGTGCTGGCAGTGGATGAGGAAGGTAAGACAGGCATTGGTGCAGTTTTTCTAAGTGTATTTGCAATACAATACAGACAAATTCATGTTTTGCATTTTTGGGCAAAGTTTGTTTTGAGTTGCTCTCAGCAGTAATGACAACATGGACAGGTACAAGGACTAATATTAGGTGTAAAAAGTGAATTGTGCAATTGTTTCCATGGAATAATGATTAGAAATGCTATATTAATACTGATGAAGGTAGCATACTAGTAACAAACTTTACACATGAAATTTACTGAACATGGCAATTCTGTTGATTTATTGCCAGATTAGATTGGCCAGATAAGCCTGAGTGATGTTATTTATATATATATGTGTATATATAT